AGCTCTAGGCTGTCCCACCGCCCCTCAGCAGGTTGCAATTACGCTTCGACGAATAATCACTTAAAATACATTATTACATATACATGCAGTTTTGAGCCGCATACACAACATATAGGTGGCAAACATTACGGAATAGCTGAGCTGAGGTTCCCTTTACCAAGCTACTATCATGCAACTTATTACCATGTTCAGGAGACATGTGCAGTAAGTGTGTGTTGTAAATATTTCTTGTCTCATTTTTTGCGTCAAAAATAGACAGACTGATATCGCTGAATAGGGTTGGGTGGCCTGCCTAAATTAAGATATAAGCCTTATCTAGAACTTTTACCACTTTATTGAAAGATCTATAAGGATCATGATCACTTGTGAACATTGCATCTGAAAATGTCACCTTACATTGTACATATGGATAACTAGAAGTTGTTTACATGCTAACATAGAACACCTATAAATATAAATTGTTATTAATAGTTAAGTAATATAACTGCGCCAGTCACAGGGATTGGCCTCTTTCCTGTTGCCAACATTGAGCTTCCAGATAGATCCAATATATACCTGTTGCTTGACATTTTCGTTGATGAGAATTCAATCACAACAAGAAATGAAAAGAAATACAGAGTGTATGTAACTATATTTATTTATCAGGTCAATCAAATTAGTCTCCAAAAACAAGCAAAACAATGGACATTTTCACATTATGACCACACTTTGAAAGTTCAAGGACCGGAAGTAAGTGTTGCATAGGACATTGGGGAATGAACGTTGACTTTCATACATGCCTTTCATCCACGTACAAATGTAGAGACCTTGAACTGCTGACCATGAAGGTATACGTACCCTGGACGGCCTCAGGATGTAGCTGTCATGGGCCTCAATGATATCACTTACTACAACACGAATTCGTGATAGACAGGAAATACATAAAAGGCCGTTGTCCGTATAATGCCTCTTGTTCTATATGAATGCATGCACGAGCAAAATGTATTTTTTTATTGTATCGTCAAGGAGCCAACATATTACCCGACAATGGTCTCTTTAACTGCCATTGTTCTTTTGTCAGTTTCAATCCTGCACAAAGAATTATTATGTTCACGCTTTTTTCATATGTATTTGTTTATGGCTTAGGTACAGGTATATAAGCTCCTCGATATTCAGTTTGTTCAAAACATAATCATTTTCCAGACTAAAGCAGCTAACCTTTGAGGTATCTCAACAGTAAGTACAAACGATGTTTTTGATGCCATAGGTTTTTACATGCAGAAGTAAAAACTGTATATATATGCATATGGCTCAATATTTTTTTTATTGAAAGGTATACACAAGAGTTAAATGTACTACAGTGTATAGTTTAAATATAATGCTTCTGCATAATAACCTGTTCCAAACAAAATACAGTTATGAGCTCATATTTGTCTTCAGATTAAAAACGGTTTACGGTAACACATTACGAATATATTTCTTTAAATAACTATTTCTGTAATATAATTAAGCAATTGGAATTTCATCTTTTTCAGTCAATATCGTCACCATGATTTCCAAAATTATGCTGATTGTCCTCCTCGTCAACGTTGCTGTCATTACGGCGTTCCCATCGCCAAATAGCCCCATTGGTACCAACTCTTCCAACCCCTACAGTTTCTTCAACATGTTCACGCCAAGGCAGAATTCAAACATTGGTGGCTTCTTCAATCAATTGTTGAACCCTTTCAACCCCTACAACAGAATCATGTACGGATTATTCGACATTGAGCCCTTCTTCGACTTTGGATTCAGGTAAGTCACTTCCCACCATGGATTCGTTAAGTGATGTTTTCTGGTAACTTGTACAAATATAGAAGTGGGTAATTCAGCAAGTAACTGCTGCTTTGCGCCGCAATTCACTTCAAGCAAATTCAAGTTTTACTGCTGTGGTCAGTAAATAATCGCATCTGGGTCCCGCAAACCAGTGACAGAAAGCACAAACAATTATCCACGCAAGTGCACATCTCATTGAATCCGACCAGTTGTTTCAACTGAATCGCCTGTGACGACCATCAATATGGTGCTGGGGACAATTCTAACTCTGGTCCCCATGGGTATTTGCCTAAGACATACATGTACATGTGGATACATGCGGTTAGAACTGGCACGCTAGGGCGGCTCACGGAATCTGACCAGCTGATTCAATTGAGTCGCCTGTGACGACCATCAATGTGGTGCTGGGGACAATTCTGGTCCCCATGGGTATTTGCCTAAGACATACATGTACATGTGCATACATGCGGTTAGAATGGGCACGCCGGGGCACGGCTCACATAATCTGACCGGATGATTCAATTTAGTCGCCTGGTCATCATGAGGATTTACCTACATGTATACAAATGTATGATCAATATGGAGTAACTCACTAAATAAGTTGATAAAATATACAGTTGTGTCATAGATGACATTTTACAAAACAGTGTTGGAGATTAAAATAATAATTAACAGTCTATGTTCATTTGTTTTCAGATAAACCATTTTCCTGTACTCTTGATGGATTTTTGCTACAAACCAAAATGAAATTGAATGACAAATGGCGAAAATAAACGTTTAATCTTTCCTATTTGCGTTTGTATTAATCTACACACTGGATGCCGTGGTATATTTACACATAACGTGACGGGGCAGTGGGTTAGCCTTGTGCATTGACTAAAGCGTTCTCTCGTCACGATTTCCCACACGTGTAAAATGTGTGAAGCCCATTTGTGGAGTCCCCCGCTGTGATATTGCTGGAATCTTACTAAAAGAGGCGTGAAACCATACTCACTCACGCGCAAAGAGGGTTTGGGTTATCCAGGCACAGTCAGGCTGGTTAAGCAAATACTTATAAATGTCATTTGAGTTTTGTAAGCATATTGCTGACGATTTTGGCTGGGTTATATTTGAAATAGCATGTTGCTGTCTTCTTGTTTGAAGTACTTTCGTGATCACAGTGTATCAGACCCTGTACAACCAAATCAGTTTCATGAAGAAATCCCTGCTTAGCGCAGATTCCTTTGAACGATTTCGACTACAAGCATGTGTTTAAATCAAACACTATCGAATAATGATAATACCAGGTGTTCGCTAAAAGGTGAGCGTATTCTGCCAATCAAGCACATTGCAAGCTACATTATCAGGCTATCAGATTGTCACAAGAGGTGAGGTGAAATAGGGTTTAACGTCACGTCGAAGATTATTGCACTTGTATAGCGACGTGCATGCACGTGTGTGTGTGTGGCTGCTTGTACTAGTCGGGACTGATGCCGATTATTAGTGCTAGCCCACTGAGATACCATGCCGCAGTTTTACATGAACGCCCCACTCAGACACAGTATACTGACCCCGAGCCGACCAGTCCTTGATTTAGCCCCTTAATGCCGAGCGCCAGACAGGGTAACAACAAGTACCATCTTTATAACGTCTTTTGGTATGACCCGGCCGTGGACCGAACCCCGGACTTTCCGCTCTCCGGGCGGGCGCTCTACCACTAGACCACGGAGGCGGTCTCTAGATATCTGAAATATGGGCAATGTTAAATGAATAATTAATACGAAATGAGAAAAGGTTTAGTGACAATATGTTGTGGAATCGCTTATATATGATGTCAGAAACACTCATTATGATCGGCCCACCATTGTCGACAGTAGCGGGTTTATGGTTTTGTTTAGCCAAGATGTGCTCCCACGAAGTGAATCCACTCACGTGACATTGACATGTATTATGTTGTTGATTGATTTTTTAAATGTCTGGCTGACCTCTTCGATGAGAGAATGAAAAGTTGTAACCAATTGCCCACTACACTCGGTTTCATTCAAAAACATAATATAATTAATTACACGTACTCTTTTGTTGCAATCTTACCCACCACATAAATTATTATACATTGACTTGGTCAGGGTAGACATTATAAAGTGATAATACTATAAATACATACTATTCATTCGTACTTGGTTACCTTTATTTATGGGGGCGGTAGGGTAGCTTAGTGGTTAAAGCATTTGCTTGTCACACCGAAGGCCCGCTTCCGATTATCCAAAAAGGTACAATGTGTGAAGCCCATTTCTGATGTCCACAGCCGTGATATGTCTGGAATACTGCTAAAGCGGCGTAAAACCATACTCACTCACTATTTGAAACAATAACTTGTGAAACGAGCATAAAAAGTGTTGGCAGAAAATGAATTTGAAATGTTCATTAAGACATAGTCTACCTGATACTTTATGTATCACGATTAAACACGACATGTATAGAATTCAAATGATCTGCAAATGAATTATTGAAAATAAAATATGATGTCAGATGCAATTTCCTATTTTGATTTGCTCCCTATCAATATGTTCACGTCTTTCTTCAGGTGAACAATTGACTTGTTTTGCAGGGGTTTGTGATGGGTGCCACCGCTGGGGCAGGATATGCTAACCTTCATGCGAACACCTGGTATCAAATCAAACAAGCTTTAATTGCCACCCTCACTCGACGAGCCATAACCAACTGTAATCCGCACAGTCTCAGCAAAGAAATTCAGCATCTGAAACACTTTCCACACTGGTGGAGAAAACTCAAGAAAAACAGCAAAAAAGATCCCGTTTCCAACCAAGTCCAAACCAACCCCATTACCCATCCTCCTCCTCATCCTCGTCAGGCCCTTCCAGTCACCAGGTCAGCAGGCTGCTCACCAAGACAGCCAACACAGACGTGGCTTTCACTTCAGACAGGACACTAAAAACATGCTTCATGCCAACAGTGAAGGTCCAAACTTACACTTACAGTGACCACTCAACATATAAAAGTGACCGTGAAAATGACTGATATATTTACACGTTATGCGCGAATCAGTGAGCATGTTACTTGTTTATCCCTGATTTACAATAGTTCGCCTTAGGCGATTGCATAACGCCGCCCTTCGTTGTTGTAATGTGTCGTGATCCACACTGGACGTGTGTCAGAATATGTTTATAAGTATGATGTATGATGTATAGTATGATGTATAGATGTGGTCATATGTACTAGTATATAAAGGTTAACACATTGTTGGAGAAACATCATCATCACTTCGGTCCTACACTGAACATCCCGTGCAGCAAAGCCGAATACGCCGTTAAAAGTAAGTTTTCTCTTTTTGGAGAATGGCATCATACACTCTTAGTCAGATGTGTATCAGTCGCAAAATTGATTAACATTACATTTCTATGATTGCTTTAATATTGTATTATACACATGCTTCGTACAAATATGAATAGCATTGAAAAAAATATTATTAAAGTCTGTATAAGTCGGGTAAAGTCGGTATAAGATTAGAAGGTGACAACCGTCTGTCTCATAGTCCAGATTTAATCACAGAATTAACCCAAGACATCTTATCAGTATGTGGTATACGTTTTAAGGATCGCGATTATGTCATATTAACTATGTTATTTGTGCGCATCACAATTTAGCCACGAAAAAATTACTTCAACAAATGGGTATTCCCTGTGTGTTAAATCTAAGTTCAAAAGTTAATAATGGTGACACGTTTTGAGCACGGGCCTGTCCAGTTATAATAATATGTTCTGGACATGGCAGTCATTGCCTTCTATTTAAGCCAAACTGAATATACAATACTACGTGTCGGCCATCGCAAGAACAATTCAGTTAACCATCGCGTCTTAAGTATATACAAATAGGTAAAGTTATTCCTTTAATTATTTCAAGAGAAAAAAGTTCCCAATGAAAACGTTCAAGTCCTCATTCTGCTATAACCAATGTAACATAGCCACCTTGCAGCATCACCTCATATATGAGGATACATATGCAAAGAGGGTACTGTGTCTGTCCGTGACAGCTATTTTGGCGTTCTCCACTTAATCGTTGACTTTTGGCCAATATATGGCCAGTGTATATAACATGTGACACTATAATAAACATTATTCTCTCTTCTCTCTCTCTTCTCTATATTTTGACAGGACGAAATATGGTAACAAATGTAAAATATATATTTGGGATGTTCCTTTGGCAAGATGAGTGGAAGCTAATTGGCAATGTAATGACCTATCAGCCACTCAAGTCACCCAGTCTCAGTTATTTTGTCAGTAAAAAGTAATATTGAAATCGCCCAATAGTGTGAATAGTTTTCCCATATCAAAATATGAAACACATTAATTCTGAGAATCTTTTTTTCTTCTTGCATGTATTGATATCGGCAACCATCTGGTCTCACAATACATAATAGTGCATATACTCATTCTTGGCTTTATTTTACTTCAGCCTCTTCCACAATGCAACTGAAACACGTCTTCCTTCTCCTTGTCGTCGCTGTTGCTGCCGCTAGTGCATATAGAACGGTTGGTTCTAGGAACAGATATCCATATGGTCGCTATGGTTATGGCTATGAGATTGAGTTCCCTGACTTCCCCGACTTCCCCGACTTCGAGTTCCCCCTGTACATGCTGGGACGAGGTGGTCGACGTGGAGGACGTGGAGGACGCAGGTCACAAAACACTTACAACACATTCGCCAGACTCGCTACACTGGATGCTTTAGACTTAATCTAAGGTAAATCAGATATCCCTCGTGTTGATGTCATGTTATGTTGGGATCCCGTGCTAAGATCCCGAGTACATCCTACTTGTGGTGCACACTGATTAAAGTTGGAATCGATGAAGACAGAATTTACCTATTTGTTATAACGTTGATACTCCATCAATGCTACGTTTCGGCACGGTGCTAGATTCAGGCAACAACACCAACACCGAAACGTTGCATTTAAAGAATAATGACATTGTAATATGTAAGCGAGCTCTGTATTCATTAATACTAACTTCTAAAATACCACTTCCAGATAACGTTGGGATGGGAAGTGTGGCATTGTAAATTATATACCATCATACATGTACCTTGATTGCTTAAATCGAATAAGTATATTGCCTCATCCAGAATCGACTATTTACAGTAACAGTTTTTTGTACATGGTTATCTACTCTCTGCCTTGTTTAACGTTGCATTGATCAATTTGCACTATTCATGCAAGGTTAAATAATGCCAGATCGTTATTAAGGCTGACGAAAATGGCTTTTATCACTCCATCAATTAACATTATGTTTTCATGATCGTAGTGAATGTACGGACATGTATTTTTACACTCAATTTTTACTTTTCAGAAAAAACTACGGACTCTACACCGGCACCAGTACTCGTGCAGAAGAATCTATTTATAATTTAACTTATTTGATATTTATTTGTCCATTAAAGAATATTCAAAGAAAATAATTATTGACTTTTTTATTGCTTAATATCAAGCAGTTTTCAATGAGAAACAAAATGCAAAATCGGCAGATAATCGAGATTGATTATATTCTCTGGCGCTGGCTTTTTGAATTTGTGTTCACCAGTAATAGTAAATAATATTTTTAAAATTTAATATCTAAAATTTGATAGGACCTAGTGTATGTGTATGCCTGCGACCATCTGAGCGAACACGCAGTGTTATAGGTGTAGTACCAACATTCATCGGTATATCGGTGACAGGTGTATGTGGTATAAACAATGAGTTTCATTCCATATGTAGACATTTGCCAATATGGGAGTTCGGGATATTATGACAAAAATACAGGGAGGTGTTATTTATTGTCTAGGTTCATATCTCACAGTGAATGCAGACTGTAATTCCTCATTATTACATGTTTGAAGGGATGTTAAAACCAAACACTGCATGTAACATCATGACAGCGATCCCACATATGGACAATGCATCGATGACACAAAAAATATGGTCCCCTTTTCAGATTATGTAACCCCGATATATAAGATCTCAAACTGAATGGTCATAGATATTCAATACGAAATAATATAAACTAAATTAACACTGCAAATACGAAAACGTCGTTTTTTCCCGTATATGGTCATTGGACGGAAAAACGACGTTATTTGGACGTTTTCAAACCATCGTTTATCCGTCCAAATAACATCGTTATTTGACATCGGAATTTAATGGGAGAGAACGATAGCGTTAAGCTCCTCCCTTTCTTGATTGACATTGTCAATCAAGCAACAGCGTCTACCGGTATTTCTATAGCTACTTCTCAGATTTCATTGGTCAGTCCCCGCGTGTTAGATTACAGGCGCGCGTTTGACGCTGCACTCGAAGCGCTTAGCGGAAGTACTGAAATCAATCGTTCTGCGCATGCGGATTACTTAATGCCTTGACCAAATTTTCCGTTCTGTGCATGTGCGATTTCGCGTATTGTTTCCTAGATTTAATGTCACCACTATTTGACAATGGTTCATAAACACAGTCACGTGAATGTTCGGAATCGTAATGAGTAACTCCATTTAAATTGAAGAGGATCCCCAGTGATATGGGAGATTCCAAGATGAAACTATTCTATGGCTATCTAGGCTGCCACCCAAACCGATCTAAACGGGACCCGACAGCTTATTGTATGCTATATAGTCATATGGAAGTGGACAAGAACTATACATTGTATTCCGGCCGATTGTTCTTGCATTTACTTATAAGTCAGGAAAATGGACTTAAAAGGGGAGTTGTTGAATGTAATTATTTTAATTATTAAATGTTGCCTATACACTAATCTGGACGAACTTGTTCTGTTTATGTCATCCTATATACTATTAGTATGTTACCGTTCTAAAGTCAACCTCTCACATAACATTCTATTGTTCATAGTATCAAAGTTTAATCAACAATATCAAGAGCAGCGATTTAAACCACTGAAACACCCAAACACAAGGCTGTTATCAAGCGCTAGTGCAGACGTGATGCATCGTAAAAACTGTATCGTGATGTCTTCAGAAATTCAATTATACTACGAGATAGTACGGCTAACGCTGACTCACCGGTGGAACAAAGACAATATCGCTAATAAAGGTATAACGTATTTGAATGTTAATACTAAAGACAAACAATCATTATTTTTGCAGTGACGATATAACACGTATACACGTTTATTGTTAAGTTTCATCAGTTTTGCTCTTCATTTTAATAACTTTGTTTTCACATATATATTTAGCAATACCCAACAAGCATGTCATACATAATTATGGGGCAGTTTTCAATCTTGTACTGACTTACCCTGGTGTTAATGAGCGAAGTTTATTGGCTTGTGTGTAAAACCCCGTTTTTCTGGTAATCCTATTATTACCTAGTTTATTTCTATCTAATGACACCCTGTTCTCTGGATCATGGCTCCGTGACTATCCATAACAATTAAGATGAACATTCAGTTCAAGTAAATGAATGAGTTTGTTTTGACGCTACAGTCAGTCAAAAAACCAATGCTGTGAGGTTTGATAACACACTTCTACCAGGTAGAACACCGTGGATCCTCATTTTCTGCCTAAAGAGAATCATAGTTCATATGCTAATCCATCTGCGAATACCCTCCCACTCAAGATGACCTTACTTGTTGCTAAATCTATCATCTATCCCCCCAATCTCACCCCCGCCCCCACCCCCAACACGCACGCACGCACGCACGCACGCAAATACGCACGCACACACACACACGCACACGCACGCACACGCACACACACACACACACACACACACACACACACACACACACACACACACACACACAAACAACTGACCTAAATAACCTGGACAGGAAATACTGCTGATAGCCTCTGTTCAACTCAGCCGCGCCACCGCAGAATGTTCGTCCAACTCTGCAGGGGGTATTCTCAGTGGCTTCAAACGCGCTGAAATGTTTTCGCCTTGCATCCAAGATGGTGGACAAGTGAAATCGTATGAAATTTGGCTATTTTAGGTCCTATCTCTTTTTTGATTACCCAATAAAGTCAATTCATAGTTACACGGTTGTGAAGAAGCTTACAACTTTATAAGACTTATTCATCTCATTCCAAAAAGGCTACTCGCGCTCACATAAAGTTGTAGTTATTATGTCACTGTTTTATTTCTTTAAAAATATATTACATGTTCAACAATAACAAAATACATTCATGCGCGGCATTCTCTGCCTAAAGAAGATCATATAGTTAACATGCTAATCCAACTCGAACTACCATCCCGCTCAAGATGAATGTTTTATGTAACATCCAACAGGCCCACATTTACGCACGCACGCACGCACGCAAGCACGCACGCGCACACACATATTTGGATTTACCAATCCCTGAATTGAGAAGACGTGCGTTACGAAGCTCCTCCAAGTCATCATCAATATCCGTATATGTCTGTGATATCATTACCCATCCAAAGCCGAATATACATTTATTGTGTTTTCTTGACAACAAATGTTATAATTGGGATAACACTTTCTGAGTAAAGTACAGATTCTCATACTTTCTTGGTTTGAGTCCCGTCCGGGATTTGAACCCACACTGTGAGTGAGGCACCCAATCGCCAGAACACAAAGTTGGCGATCTAACCCAGCCACCGAACTAAAAATGTTAGTCCAGATGACGTATACTTTGTGTACTCCTCTGACAAGAGAAAAATGGCACGGCTTCTATGACCGAAAGCTTTGAACCAACAATGCCTTTAAGAAAGTGGTCAACAGTAACACACATTATATTTGGATACCACTTTCTCAGTAAACTACATATTTTTAGGGTGGAGATAATAGACGTTGATGGTTGATTATCAATGGACAAATTAAAGCCAAAACTTAACTTATGAATGATTGGTAATGGGAAATGGACAATGGGCAAACGGGAGGCGGGGTAATCAGCGCCATGCCAGTTATCTGTTGGCTTCCCTTGTTGCGTTCCCTTCTTTGCTATCTTTTTACTTTTATTGTTCTTACAGGTACAAATATATGTTCTCTGCCTCATAGCATTTAATAATATGCACCTGATGAAGGAGAAAGTATATATTCCGAAACGCAGTGTTCCTCCGTTGACATCCATAAATATTTTTCCTTGTGTGTATCAGTTCTTAATGCCCTTCAAATACTCAATCTAGCTTTGTTTTTAAATGTGGTGATATGTGCGTAGAATATAATATGGTCATGCCTATATACATTTGGGTCTTTGTCTACATAAGCATTTAGACATACAATTTAGAGCTAAGGACATTGCTAATTCTGCAGGCATGAAGTACACGTCATAGCAAGCTGTGATCTTTATTCATACTTTAGATATTCGTAATGGAGATCTGTAACTAAAGTTTATCGTAATCTTCCGCAACTCTCACCTCCTGACCAGTTGAACGTCTTAGTGCATTCAGATGCCATTGTAAAATTCCAGGCTGCCCCTCTTTCTGTGATGTTTTGACGGATGAAATCTATTGCGTTATAATAATCTCTGTTTGCTGATATATAATAATGTACATGTTGTAAATATTTACGATATTTTAAACGTGTAATTCGATACATATGCAATGCAATGTGAACATAAGTGCGGATGCACGAAGGCGGTTATAGTCATAGTTATACTGCGATGGATGTAGGGGAATGGTAGGAGGGTGTATGTATGTATGAAAGCACGAATACCGATACATGAGGGCGGATATAGTTATAGTTCGATGGATGTTGGGGAATGGTGGGAGGATGGATTATGTATAAAAGCATACGCATGGATCCATGATGGCTGACGTAGACATAATGGTGGGGAAAGAAGAATGTGATGTATGTGTGTTTGTGTGTGTGTGTTTGTGTGTGTGTGTGTGTGTGTGTGTTTGTGTGTGTGTGTGTGTGTGTGTGTGTGTGTGTGTGTGTGTGTGTGTGTGTGTGTGTGTGTGTGTGTGTGTGTGTGTGTGTGTGTGTGTGTGTGTGTGTGTGTGTGTGTGTGTGCGTGCGTGCGTGCATGCGTGCATGCGTGCATGCGTTGTGAAACGAGGGTTGGCGAACATGTTGTCAGATGATTGTGTGAGTAAGTTAAGTGGTTGAGGATGTGGCAGGTATGAGTATTGACTTGGGGTTGGGGGACTGGTTGTGCCTGTACTGAGGTCTTTTGTTTCACTCACTTATAGTGTTTTCTTTTACTCAAATACTGATTTACGCATTTGAATGACTGAAACTGTAGTGACTCAAAGGTCATACTGGCCGGGCATTCAACATATCTACCCAAACTACATAAGTAGCCATTTTTATGGTGTACAATTCTTCTTCTACCTCACACACACACACACACACACACACACACACACACACACACGCACGCACGCACGCACGCACGCACGCACGCACGCACGCACGCACGCACGCACACGCATTAATTGTTTTATTAAATGTATCTTCGAGAGTCAGTAAGAAACTAGAAATAACTGCCTTTGTTCTGTAAAC